TGTCGAGTCCAAATTACATAAATATTTATATTTATTACCTTTGTACTAAAATAGAGTATAGCTTTTTTTTTTTTAATCCCTGATGACCTGATAAAAAAATTTCCAATCCGCATTTTATTTCGTTGAAAAAGCAGCACAACTTTACAAGTATATGACTTTTTATTTTATCTTCTTAGGGTGGGCCAATAGTACTCAATCCTAATAATCTATCCTTGTTTGGTAAAATAGACATAGCGATCCCAAACATTAATTTATTTTGGACGGACTAAAGAATTGTGCAATAATTAAGCTACTCTAAAGTCATTAAAGTTGCCTAAATTATTATTATAATTCCTAATTTTCTTCTGCTACGGATCTATTTGCCATCCACATCAGAATCAAAGAATGCAAGTAGATGGACCACTTTTATTTTTATTTTATTTTTTTCTTTTCTATTTATTCTTCTTTTAAAATAATATTTATCAATATTTTTCGTCCTCCATCGTTTATTCGAATATCGTGATTCGTGACTTAGTTCAAAAAGCAAAAAATAATAATATCTATATTATTTATTTACATTAATTAGTGTGTTGTCTGTGAACATGTGAAGATGCGCAATCCATGTTGTATATAGTTACGATGTGACCCCCTATGTTTGTTTATTTTTCTCCACTGTCTTTTATTGTTATTATTATTATTATTATTATTTTAGAAAAGCAAAAAATAATACTCGTATTTAAGTTTTCTCTATTGCTTGAAATATGATAAAATCGACTATGTGTGATTCTATTTCGCCTCTGAAATGATAAATTGAACACTTAAATTAAAATAAAAAAATATCGTGAGTTCGAATTTACCTCATCTCATTTAGTTAAAACTTGAAAATATTCATTTTAACTTATTTCGACTCATTAAACCTTGAGTTCAACTTACTAATACTAATAAACAAATCGAGCTTGTACTTATTCATCGTCTCGATTAGTTAGTGATGTCAGATCGAGTCTAATATCGAGTATCAAAAGCCGAGTCATTTTTAGTTTTGATTTATTTATTTTTCCATGTCACAATGTTATTGGTGGAGCATTGACTATTTTAATTAATTACTCAAAAATTCCTTGTTCGGATGATTTGGTTCCGATGCCAACTAAACCAAAAGCTTAAAGCAACAAAAAACGTGGACCACTTCATGACTTCTTGCTCCATTTTTATTTTTATCATTATTATTATTTTGAATTTAATAAATTTGATATTCTGTCGGCATTTGATTCAAACACATTATGAGGTGGTACATTTAATTCGTCCCCCATTTTTTATTTTTTATTTTTTCTAAAATAATAATAATCTGATGATGTTTGGTTGGATTGGTGAAGAAAGCACATTGATAGGAGAATTTTACTTTAATCCTTTTCTTTTGTGCAAAACCACTCATGAGATATTATAATTTATTACCGTTGATTAAGCAACAATTATTGACTCCATTAACTTTTTTTTTTTTTCTTTTTCATTTTTATAATGAGTTCCCCTTTGGAGCATTCGAGCCAAGGATTTGTTTATTGAACTATTTTATTTTTTTTAAAACTCATTTTAATTTTTATTGAGTTTTTAATTTAAAACCTTCAAAGAAGCATGGTGGTACATTAGGCAGCCCAAGTTGGACTGATGATTTATTTATAATGCCTTGTGACAACCATCAATGATTCTTGAAATGGTTATTATTTATTAATTGAATATATAATTAGGACTATATATTATGCACAAATGTATGTGCAAGTGAACGTGGACATATCTTACTGAGTTATTTAAGTCTGCACAAACTCTATACTTATAAATAATTGATCAGTTAATGTAAGCTAATACGTCACGGTATCAAACTCCCACTTCAAGAAAAAAATAGATAACAATATATCATCTATTTTTATGATTGATTTATGGAGTATTTGCTAACCAATTTGCTAACAATTATTCATCACATATATTTTCAAATGGAAAGTCTGAAATATCATATTCTAAAAAAGAGTATGAATAAAAATATATTATTTCATATCACAAGTATACAATTTTATTAAAAAAAATACGACAGGTCAATCTGTTTAGTAATTATATCGATTTATCATATATACAATAATTTGTATAGTTGAATTTGTGAGATAGATAAGCTATACTAAGCATTTGTTCAAGATTTGAAAGGTCATCGTTTTTTTAAGGCGTGATGACATGCACCACCAAGGGCCATGCTTATTTTTTCTTGGTTTCTTTATTTTTTCTTTCTTACTTGCAAGATGAGAATAGAAGTATTTTTTTTTTCCCCCTTAGCGTGACCCGAGGAATTAGCTATTTACTATTTAGCAAAAAATTATAACTAGGACAATGCACGTGTACTTGTTAAAAAATTTATTTTTAAAAATTAAATAATAATAACAACACCATTGTTGAAAATTAAATATAGGTACTTATTAAGTTAATTTGAGGTTTTCATGAAAATTAATGAGTAAATTGAAAACTTTCAAAGGTTATATTTGTCAATCAATACCATTACCAAACTTAAGGGTTACATTAGTCAAACTATTATTGAATTACCAAGTTAGTTTTTCAATATTTTTGGAATGTCCGAACCTATTTTTTATACAAACCAAACTACGAAGCATGTTTCTTCGTCAAATAGAATTCCGAAGCATGCGACACTGCCACTTAAACTCAGCGCATTCTGCAATTATATATAGGGGATATATGATAATGATATGTCATTTACTTTTACCCATTCCAAATATACTCAAAACCCTTAAAATACGGCTAATTTGGAAAAAGATTTAACTTTAAAGGTGAAGGTAGCAATTTTTCATAATACGAATGTATACACTGTTTTTGTTTCCATTTAGTTTTTTTCCCTTAAATAGCAGTGTGCACTAAGGTCTATGCTTATATTGACGTTTTCGGCTTTGAAATCAAAGCATTTCAAATGTCTCATATTAAGAAAAAATTTAAACCTACACACAACTTAGAAAATAAATTATAATTAGGAGTTTAATATTGCAAAAAGCATTCAAAAAATAGGAACGCCAATCTAACAAAATCTTTAGTCAAACCCAGCTTTAATTTTTCCATTCCACACCCACCCAAACAAATCGATAAAATTTATAAAATATATTTTTGTTTCAATTAGATTATTAGAATGGTCAAAGTAATTATCACGAATATCTAGACACGTTTAACGCAAAAAAAAAAAATCAAAAATTACGAAACCTTTTATAGCTAGATAAAATAGCTACCTATATGTTATATAGCTCTTTACTCAAAATGATGCTCAATGAATCTTTATTGATATCACCATTCTGAGGTAAATTTATATATCAATTGATTTTCTCCAAATAAGTTTAGTTAGCGGGTTTAACAAGCCAAAATTTTAAATTAAATTCAATTGGCTAATTTAACATCAATCCACTAACATTCAAATGAATCCATAGAAATTTTCACAATAATAATTAGTGGAAATCAAAATCCATGAGACATATGATTTTATCATTCACTAGGTAAATTTTACCGTATGATATGGGATACCTTATTGGGTCGACTTGACTCGAGAAACCAACTGACAATGCTAGGTAAACCAGTAAGTCGAACGGAGATCGAATGAGCTACAGATCGAGAGATCCTCAGGTCGATGAGGACGTCGCAGGTAAAAAGGAACGCCGACAAATCAAGCTAGGGTATTTGGATTGCCTGGTTGAATTCAACTTAAAAGTATGACAGATCAATGGACCGACTAGAAGAGAAAAGTGTACGAGCTAGCGCAGAAGACACTCTACCTTGCACGATTGTACAGTCTAATAAGGCAGACTAATAGATAAGAATGAATATAATTAAATAAGAACTACAGGTGGATTGGACCACATGACATAACAAAATTAAGCAGTTCTGGTAGAATGAGTAGTACGAACAGGAAGCTCGGGCAGTCTGGACAGCTGATCTAGGGTGAGGTATGTACATTTACGCTCTATATTCTCTACACAATACTCTATTATAGTTACAGAGTTCTTTTATCTACCACTGATCGTCTTCGTTACTGCAGACCGACTTTAACGTTAGAGTGCTGACGCCAAAAGAGGCCTCTCCCGATCCATTTTATAGATTTACAAAAAGATCAGGTGGATGCGAATCCTATTCAAGTCGTTTGATTACAAAATNNATAAAAAAAAATAGGGCAGTGCACCAGTGTAGCACCGGATAACTCCCCCAAATGGTAATGCAAAGGGCTGTCCCATATGGACAGGCACACACACCACACCACACCACACCAGTTGAAGAGGAATGGGGACAAAAGGCAGCAAAACCGTGAAAACCGCAGATGAAACAGAAATCGCGTGGGCCCCGCCACCCTTTGAAACTGCCTTTTCCCCATCATCAGCACACATCGCACGTGCTGGTGGTCCCCACACCCCCACCCAACTCACGTTTTTTGGAACCACACACCCCACGACTTTTTCAATTAAAAAAATCTAAAAGACAAAAGAGCCCTTGGACTTGACCGAAAAAACTGTTGTTTCCCCAGCAGCGTACGGTGGACCGTGGGGCCCGCGTACTATGCCAGTTACAACGTGGTCTAGGATCGAAGCCCATGCCACGTCAAAAGTCATCAGTGCGGAAAGACGAAACTACCACCCGCGTTCAAGCAGTCCGTTGCGGAGGTGGGACCCATTTATGGATGGGGTACAGGAATTTCTAGAAATGTATATATATTTAATTAAATGCCTTGGCCGGGGATTGATTTTTATATATTATTAGTATAGTATTATCTTATTGGAAATTCAGTATTGGCAGTAACTGGATTTAATAATTTGCGATTTTTTAATTTTTTTTTCTGAAAAAAAAAATCATGAGCACAGTACATCACCGATCGAGTATTTTTTTGCTAAAATCAATGCAAACGGATGACTATTTTTATCTCTTATTATCTCTCTCTTCTCACTATTTTATTTATTTATATCTCTCTAAATTGATTGACTTGTGAAAGGTTCTTCTCTATCCCAAAACCAAACGCTTTAAATAAATCCTCACACCCCATTCATTTTCCTTATCGCCATCTCTCCTCTCTTGCATGCTTTGCTCTACCTTTATTTTCTCTCTCTAAAATCAAACCAATCTTAGAGAAGAACAATATCAAATATCACCACACACAAGAACGTACAAATCTGCTCTTTCTCATGGCAGTTGAAGCAACGCATCTAAATCTTTTTCCGGGCCAACTCATTCAGGACAGGCACTCCTTGAACCCTTCGAACCAGGGTTCGAACCTTAATATTCCGTACAATTCCGCGATGGGTTTCGTGGGGGCTTCCTTGCCGGAATACCAACTGCTCTACCGGCCGGCGGCATGCAATTCGGTTCAGGCGAAGACCTCGGCCAACACCGACAGCGGCCTCACGTGCAACGTGCCCGTCTCCAGAAAGCGTCAACGTGACTCAGTCAGTCACTTATACGGCAATATTTTCGACCGGCTGCCGCCTTCTCTCGCCGCCGGCGAGGACATCATGCCGCAAATCCAGCAGTATCAGTTGGACATCGATGCCATTATCTCCCAACACGTAAGCCATCTTAACAAATCTGAATTTTATGAATTTATTTACATTTTTTTATATTAATTGAATTAATGTGGTTTTTTATTAATTTAAATCTGTAGAATAAGAAAATCCGATTGGAATTGGAAGAGAGGCAAAAGCAGCAGACGAGGCTGCTGGCGGCGGCCGTCGGCGAAGGGGCAATGAGGAAATTGAGGGAGAAAGACGAACAAATCCAGAGAATGGGAAAATTGAATTTAGTCCTTCAGGAAAGAGTTAAAAGCCTCTACGTCGAGAATCAGCTGTGGAGGGATCTGGCGCAGACTAACGAGGCCGCCGCGAATTCCCTCCGAAACAACCTTGAGCAAGTACTCCTCCATATCGGCTCCGAGGGCGTATCGGGCGGCGGCGGCGTCCCGGCCGCCGGAGACGAGGAGGAGGACGTCGAGTCGTGCTGCGGCAGCAGCGACGGAGGTCGCGGCCGGGAGGAGGAAACCGTCGCCGCCGGAAGGGAGAGGATGTGCAGAATGTGCGGCGAGAGGGAGCCGTGCGTGCTGCTGCTGCCGTGCCGGCACCTGTGCCTGTGCGGGCCGTGCGGCGGCGGGTCGCGGCAGCTGAGGGAGTGTCCCGTCTGTAACGCCAGCATGGACGCGACGCTCCACGTCAACATGACGTCATCGTAGGATTTGGATCAGTAGTTGTAGCGTAGATGTAAGAAACAGAAAAATGAGAAGGAAAATATTGGAACATAGTTTTTTTTTTTTGTTGTTGGTAGATTTGTTTG